TCACTTCGCACTCGAACACGATTCAAAATCAAACAAATTTTATAGAATCGACGTGCTGCTCCAGGTTGAGACCGCGGTGCATTATTGCTTTTGCACCAAAGATAAAACATTTACAATCGGTTTCCGAAAGGCCGACCAATGTTAAAATCAATTAAATCTCTTGTCAAGTCATCTGATTGGTTGGATGAATTATCAACAACCAATCAGATGACTTGACAAGAGATTTGACACCTAGTTAGTTGATTTTAACATTGATCGGGCTTTTGGAAACCGGGCATTAGTTACTAAGTTGTCTTTAACAAACCCACGGAAAGAACAGAGCAACTTAGTTATGTATATACTGTTTAACAAAAATATCATCATCATCATCAGCCTATAAGTTCCCACTGCTAACCAAAGGCGTCTTCTCACACGGAGAAGGTTTGAGCATTAACCACCACGCTTGCTTTAAGCGGATTGGCGATTTCAAACTTATAATAAGAAATTATAAGTCCAGGTTTCCTCACGATGTTTACCTTCACCGTATGTCAGTGGTGTCTAAATAATCATATCAAGTACATATAACTCGGAAAAAGACACATTAACTCCTCAATCACACCGAGCAAGACAAAGCTGCAGTTGTTTCACGCCGGTTTTCTGTGAGGACGTGTATTACTACGTTAGTTGATTCGATCGATTCATATCGTATGTCAGTGGTGTCTAAATAATCATAGACAGTACATATAACTCGGAAAAAGTCACATTGGTGGCCTTAATTTGCCTCATGCATGAGAAGCGAGCACCTTAACTTTCGGGCCCCGATGGAGAAGAAAAAGATACGAAACGGCGGAATAACTAAAAGTTAAAAATTCTCACGCCCTTAGTAAAATTAACGACTTCATTTAACTGTTAGTTGCATAAGCTGAGAGGTCATTCACCCTGACCTGAGAGGACAGATCATTTTGAAACTTTTTAATGGTCGAGTTAAAACTCTCAAACGTAGGAAGATCATGCATCGGCTCGTTTTTTTTATGGTATAAGTCGGCAAACGAGCAGACGGATTACCTGATGGTAAGCAATCGGCGCCGCCCGTGGACACCCGCAATACCAAAGGAGTTACGAGTGCGTTGCCGGCCTTTAGGGGATATGGGTTGCGGATATAAGGGTCGGGTAGGGACAGGGGAAGGGGCGGGATTGGGCCTCCGGTAACCTCACTCACACGGCGAAATACAACGCTGTGGTTGTTTCACGCCGGTATTCTGTGAGGCCGTGGTATCACTCCGGTCGAGCCGACCCATTCGTGCCGAAGCTTGGCTCTCCCACACTTAAATGCTCTCTCCTCGAGACACCACGTGACTCACGTGACCTACTCGTCCCACGTACCCATAGGATACTCTGGGTGCCAACCACGAAGGTGCGGGCTCGAAACCTGGCAAGTACCAATGTGACTTTTTCCGAGTTATATGTACTTTCTATGTTTATTTAGACACCACTGACATACGGTTAAGGAAAACATATCTCAAATCGGACTTCAAAGATTGAAATCAGTCAGATGAATCTTAAGACTTATTCTGATTGTAAGTTTAAAATTGCCAATCCGCCTTGAGCAAGCGTGGTGATGAATGATCAAACTTTCTCCGTGTGAGAAGAGGCCCTTGCTCAGCAGTGGGCACTTATAGGCTGATGATGATGATAGAATACTGGCGTAAAACAACCAAAGCGTTGTATTTCACCGTATGTCTTTCTACAGTACGTCCAGTCTTCCCCACAACCCAAACCCTTATAATATCTTCAAATCGTTCCCCCGTCCACAAACCTCCAAAAAACCAATAACGCATTTTGTAACTCTCTAGTGCAATGATTTTACCCCCTCAAGAAAAAGAGACTTTACCTATGTTTAATAATGGGGATGGTGTGCAAGGGGAGCTCACCATCCGACCAGAATTCGACGAGAACGCTTCCCACCATGGTTAGAGCACACTATGGTCTTTGCTTGGGAGAGGATGGGGACAAGGCGCAATAACGTTCCGAGGGCTTATTCGGAGTAGGGGTAAGAACAGGGTATATTTTTAGTCAGTAAAAGTGTAACACTAAGATCCAGAAAAGTTTGAATAACGATTTAAACCATTTAAAAAAAGAGCCAGCTTATTTTTTGATGAACATGGCACTTTTGATCGGTGATCTCCACACTTATAGCAAATCCCTTTTCTTCTATACTAATATAATAAATAGGTAAAAATTCTATGTTTGTAAGTTTGTATGTACGGGGTAATCTATGGAACCGCTGGTCGGATTGCAAAAATTATTTCACTGATAGATAGCTGCAATGTTCCTGAGTGCTATAGGCTATAAAACATCACGCTACTATCAAATTAAGCTGAGCAGCGGGAACCGCGCGAGTGTAGTTAGTATGTAGATAAAGCTAGCAGGAGGCTCTTGGCGCATATTGATATGTATTTTCTATCCACCTAATCCAAGAAAAAACGCCTCAAAGACTGTTGCTTGTTAGTTAAGACATTATTCATGACCTCAGACAAAGTTATATTGTGAATAATCAGAATGCTGAACAGTCAAGGTCATTAGAGAACGTTAAATAATATTATAATGCTACACGAGGTCTATGTGCGATTACCGGGTTGAGTGGTTTAAGTTATTGAGTAGACGCTTTAAGCTTGCGAAAATGTTTACCTATATTGTTTACTAGCGGCCCGCCCCCGCTTCGCACGGGTCCAACTATCTCGCTATCAAAGGGTCACTTTTTTCTAAACCACCCCTCTACTTTTCTAATATTTTCGTTAATAAGAACCTTCTCCTGACAATAACAAATACAACAAAAAAAGAATTAGCAAAATAGGTCCAGCCGTTGTTGAGTTATGCGCTTACCAACACATTCTGCGATCCATTTTTATATATACGATTTTTCGAAAACTAATTTTACTTCAAAAATCATTACTTTCTATAAAAAAAACAAAGTCGCTTTCTCTGTCCCTATATCTCTATGTATGCTTAGTAAAATTGAAGAGGAAGGTTTACGTTTAATAACATCCATTAAATGGCGGAGAAATATTACAGTATCAGCATTGCAGTCTTTTATAGTAAACTGGCTGCTCTCGCGCGGTTTCACTAGCTGCTCGGCTCCATTTGATTGTAGCGTGATTTTTATAGCGTAAAGCACGCAGGAACATTGTAGCTATCTCTCAGTGAACAAATTTTGGCAATCCGACCAGCGGTTCCAAAGATTACTTCCTATATACAAACTTACAAATTTCACCTCTTTATAATATTAATATAGATGTAATTTGTGTGTGTATGTTCGACCTACACTTAAAAACTACTGAACGGGTCTGAATGAAATTTGGTCCAGATATAGATGAAAAAAGTAAAAGTAAGTTTTGCTTGTTTTTATCCCATTAACGCGATTAAAGTTGGTACCTGACAGAATATATATAAATAAATAACCATTATTTGATGACGTGATACTGATTTAGATTAAAAATATACCTTTGTACTCATAATATTAAAGTGCAAATCAGAAAAACTTCTTAAAAAAATTGAACAAACGGTGTTCCTTCACGCTTCGGCGATGCGCACGCGACTGTGATGACGTCACTCTTGTATTGACCGTCTTGTTGCTTGAGAGCACGTCGATTCTATAAAATTTGTTTGATATATAGGTAGAATGCCACTTTTAACGTCATCTCATACTTTATCTATCAAAATGTTGCGGTCAATTTAGTTAAACTCGCAAGTGTAGCGCTAGTGTACTACTCACAGCGGATTCAGATTCGAGGTTTAGAATGAAGTCTTACAGAATCACATACAACTGCTCTGATAATGTTGGTCAAAACAATGTAATGCTGCTGTACAGCGTGTCGCGGGTTCGATTCCCGCACGAAACAACTCTTTGTGTAGGTAATCCACAAATTGTTGTTCCGGGTCTGGGTGATGTGTATGTGAAATTGTAGGTTTATATACTCACCCATGACAAAGCAGAAAATCAAAATTTGGTTCAACGTTTTTTAAAATTATATCCAGGCTAGACAACACGGGAACGCTGATATAGTAGCAATAAGACCCTTCTCTGAGGAGTGGCTTGAGAGACGCCACGGTGTCCTCACCTTCCGCCTGACGCAGGTGCTTACCGGGCACGGCAGCTTCGGTAGGTTCCTGTTTCGGATTGTATCTTTGAAGAGCCAGTAAACCACCACAGACGGGACCCTATAGAGCTGATGTCCAGCCGGGGTTGCAGGGCAAGCGCAATATGGCACCGCGGCCTTGGCCTAAAGCAGGAGAAGGAACGGGGGGGTTTTTAGTCAGTAAGAGTCTGACACTCCCTCCCGCCTCACCCTGAGTAATAGAAATCTTTTAATGATTTACCCCTCACAAAAAAGTTGTAATTTATTTAATAATTTAATTAATTGTGTTGTAAAGTCAAAAAAATAGTTTTGATGAAAGAAAATACATAATTTTAGGGTGCGTTACCTATAAGTATCTAGGGTATTTTTGGGGGTCTTTTTAGTCAGTAAGAATCCTCTCCTCGAAACTGTCACCTCACCCTGTCACTCTCTTTTAATTATCATAATCATCCCCTCCAAAAAGGACTATTATCTTTAGTTAATTAAAAAAATGTTACGTTAGTTCATATCTTAATTAATGTTTGATTAATTTAAAGTAGGCTCATAATTTTGTTATTTTATTTTATTTTATAAACATTGAATCCGTAATTTGACATTGTCAATTAGGTATAATTTTTCTTTCCTTGTTTTGATTGTACTTAATGTTATTCTTAAATGTATGTACTATGTACATACTCATGTACTACGCAACGGATACTTTACCTAATTGTTGCGTAGTTAAAGATTTAAGCGTTCAAAGAGATACAGGGGCAGAGTAAGCGACTTTGTTTCATATCTACTATGTAGGGATTAATTAATAAAAATAACATTTTTGATTCATGCAACACTGGGTAAGCAAAGAAATTTTAAACAAAACCAACTAACAATAAAATTTTCTTTGTTACAGATCAAAATTAATACCAAAACGGAAGATTATGCAAATTTCTTAAAAATGGCGCCACAAGAAAGAAATTCATACGTCTCCGAAGATGAATCACAAAACACATCGAATAATTTATCTCACATAGATTTGAGCGGCGGTTTCGTCAACAAGGCATACGAGAATGACAGTACAGATGTTGCCACACCAAAAAATTTACCCGCAAACGAGGAAGAAAAGAAAAAGAACACAGATTTTGACGATTTGTTGCCATACGTCGGGGAGTTTGGACTATATCAAAAGATTTTGTTCCTACTAATGATACCATTTGCATTTTTCGTTGCATTCGTGTATTTTTCACAAATTTTTATGACGATCGTCCCTGAGGAGCATTGGTGTTGGGTGCCCGAACTCGCTAATTTGACGGTGGAAGAGAGGTGAGTGTCTTTTTCTTTTTATATTTAAGTAATTTTAGTTTCTCTGTAATTTTAGTTCTCTATGTAACATTTATTATGAATTGTGTCTTTGATATTTATTGTCAATTAACATATCTAGCTTACTCATTTTTTCCTCTTCTTTGAAAACATGGGATACACATTTAGACCATTCGGTAGCCGTAATTTTTTGAATGCCTTCCTGAAACTGATTCACTGATTGTTTATCGATTTTTGTGTTCATCACTACACTGTTTTAAGTGGTGTCATTATTTCACAAAATGACAGAGGTCAATGTCAAATCAGGAATCGAATTAAAAGTCTGACTATAAATAATAAACAGGTACTTTTGAAACGTCAAAATAGAATAGTAGTCTGTCAGTCTGTTCGTCAGTGAAGCTAGGTGCTCGTTCTAAAGTACCTATATTCAATTGTTTGTTGTGAATGAATATTTTACTGTCCAATGGAGTCGAACTAACATGCTGTCAGATAGTCTTATACTACCAGACCTAGATCACGATTAGTTGGCATCATCAGCGTAATCAGTAGCCACTGCTGAGCAAAGCCATCTTCTCACACGAAGGTTTGAGCATTAATCACCAAGCTTGCTCGGAGCGGTTCAGCGATACCAAACTTATAATTAGAAATTAAGGTTAAGTCCAGGTTTCCTCACGATGTTTTCCTTCACCGTAGTCCGTATGTCAGTAGTGTCTAAATAATAATAGAAATTACCTACATATAACTCGGAAAAACTCACATTGATATCTATTCTAATATTATAAAGAGGTAAAATTTGTAAGTTTGTATGTAGGGGGTAATCTTTGGAACCGCTGGTCGGATTGCCAAAATTCTTTCACTGATAGATAGCAACAATGTTCCTGAGTGCTATAGGCTATAAAACATTACGCTACGACTAAATGGAGCCGAGTAGCGGGTGAAACCGAGTGAGATTAGCTAGTTGTTGATATTTTTATTTAAATTTTAATGTATTCGTATTCGCATAACTTTGTCAATTTTGTTCCTATTGTAATTTTCCTTAGTTTAAGGTTTATGTTTACATACGGTAAGTGATGTGTACATCTGTTAAGGATATACATACAAGAACTCTGTCTCAGTCATAGAATTAAGAAAATGTATTTTATGTATATTGTTGATGTACCTTATTGAATAAAAAAAACTCACATTCGCCAGGTTTCCAAGTTTCTCATACATTAGAAGTAGGCCCCTTAACCTCCGGGCCTCGACGAAACCTGAAATACTCAAAATAAATATCAATTTTTTAATCATTACCAAAACTATTTAAACTCGATCGCCCATACAATAAAGCTGCCTATAATTTATTTCAACCTTGCAAATTTAAATATGTAGGTACATTTTTAATTCCGGTGTAACACAAGCACAACCGGATTAGAATGATTAGTTAAAAATTATTCCAAAATTGTTGTAACACTGGTCCAAATACAAAATGTGGGTAGAATAGTGAAAAAAAAAATATTTTTAATTATTTTAATGATATGCATTTGGAAATAATATGTCACTAGGTCGTAGACAAGTAGCAGTTGTGTATTTTTTTATGGAATAGTAGCTTTTGCCTGCGACTTCGTCCGTTGGAATAGTGACTTCGTGCAGATTTTTGGTATAAAAACTATCCTATATCCTTTCTTGAGTCGCAAAGTGTTTAGGCGTGAAGCAAAGAGAGACAGACAGACAGAGTGACTTTCGCATTTATAATTTGAGTTTCGATGTCTCCAAACGAGCATACAGATTACCAGATGGTAAGCAATTTGCGCCGCAAATGGACACCCGCAAGACCAAAGGAGTTACGAGTGCGTTGCCGGCCTTATAGGGAAAAGGGGGCCGGATATTCAAGGATTGGGAAGTGATGACGTGAGAGGAAGGGATTGGGCCCCCGTCACACATAAATGTGTGTATCTATATGTATGATATCTTTCATTTTTTTATGGCCACGGTTGAGGATCTTAGAGCCAATAGACCACCACATATGGAGCCCTACAGGGCTGATGTTCAGCCGAGGTTGCCGGGGTAAACGCAATGTGGCTGTGTGTGAGCTTTGGGCCGACGCTGCGGTGCCTCATTGCGCTTGCCCCGTAACCTCGGCTGAACACCAGTACCATAGGGCCCCGTCTGTGATGGCCTATTGGCTCTTTGAGGCCGCGGCGCGGAACCTTACGCGCCGAACGCTCGGGTCTGGTTCTGATTGGGCGGCGAGTTACTGCAGCGAGCCCGCAGACCGCAGGAAGTCACTGTTCCACGCGATCGAAGTCGCGGGCAAAAGCTAGGCAAAGGCCATAAAACGTCAATATTATATAAAAATAAAAATGAAGCCGAATTTTTACCATCAGAGAATCGGTTCAAATCCCTCTTACACAAAAACAACTTAGAGTATCTCTTTACTACTTAATAAAAAACAGTGGTGTCAATATAATATATTATGTATAAATCGACCAGGAAACATATACATATTTATTTTATTATCTAAATTAAATTGCAAAAAAAAATTATGCAAATTAGTATCTATGTAATTAATTTTTTTTTCGAAGGGCCTTCGGCTATTTACTTCATACTTATTTATATAAAGTAAATAATATAATTTGGACACGTATTTATTATAAAATTAAGGATTTCCTTATGTACCTATTGTCGATATATGTAAATTAATATTCTATCTATTTAATTATTAATAGAACTAAATATTTTATTTATTTATATTCTACTAATATTATAAATGTGAAATTGTAGGTACTTAAAACAATATTTCTTTTTTAAAAGAGTAAATATGGAATTTCTTGTTCTTTCCTCTCCATTCGAATTTACAATTTGGAACGAGCTTCTAGCTTCACTGACTAACAGACTGACAGACTATTATTCTATTTTGACGTTTCAAAAGTGCCTTTTTATGGTCTAGTTGGAATTAATGACTATGACTTTAAGTTTGTGAGAATATGTGTAATAAATAATCATAAAAAATACCTAAATATAACTCGGAAAAAGTCACATTGGTGTGCCCTTTCCTTCGGTCCAGATTGCCCGTTGCAAAAAAAATCAGACCTCATTTGCCACCAAATGAGGTCTACTCTACCGTATGTAGGAAGGCATGTTTAAACATATGTATAACAATATTTATATAATGCGGAAATCGTTAAACAAACCGATAATAATAATTATAGTTTCGACAGTAATGCTATTTTTGATATCACCTTGATATTATTGAAGCCTTTCCAATTCATTTTTTGTAATGGGATAAATAATACAGACTTTCATTATGATTCGATTGGATCGGAGATATTTATGGACGATGTGTACAGTTATTACCGTCCCTTCTTCTGCTCCAAGCCAAGGCCGCGATGATGTCCATCATTGCGCTTGACTCGCTTAGAATCCAAGCTGAATATCAACCCTGTCCAGCTCATCTGCGGCGAACTAATGGCTCTTTGAGACGCGCCATACGCCTTCCTCTTTCTGAGTTTAACAGCTTTACAGGAAGAATAGAAAAATTCTCGTGGTGGCCCGGAGGTTAAGGAGCCCGCTTCTCGTGCATGAGGGTGAAGTTTCGAAACTTGGCAAGTACCAATGTGACTTTTTCCAAGTTATATGTTATTTCGATGATTATTTAGACACCACTGACACACGGTGAAGGAAAACGTCGTGAGGAAACCTGGACTTATAATTTCTAATTATGAGTTTGAAATCGCTAACTCGCATTGAGCAAGCTTTGATTAATGCTCAAATGTTCTCCGTGTGAGAACAGGCATTTGCTCAGTAGTGGGCACTTATGGGCTGATGATTATGAATGAGACAAATTCCCAGTTCCTCCCGGTCCGCACCATGGTCTCGACTAAGGCCGGGCGCGAGAGGTGCTTTAGCCCAAGCAGGGCACACCGCCACTGTTTTCTCTTGGAGAAACGTGGTCTAGTTTATAACGATATTTAATTATCCTCGTGCAATAATTAAAAATAATGGCGCTTACAAATGGCATTTCAAACATAGATGTATCCATTTATTGTAAATTATACTTCGTATAAAAAACTTGTTAGTGAAGAAAAATAACAAATTAACTTGATTCCTCCATTAATGAATAAAATAATTAAACTATAATCAAATGTCACAACTTCGGCCCCTGATAGTCTACTGTTGGATTCTGGGAAGGGGCCAAGCCCAGAACCTAATCTTGACGCTTGGTCGATATGACCACATGAAACGATTTTTTTTTTTTGTGAGGACAAAATCGTCTCTTGATTTTTCTCGCCTCTCTCTCGTGTTAGACTTACCAGCTTTAAATCTCCCTTCCCTTTTCCTACTTTAGGTCGAGGCCGCGAATTATTAATAGTTTAATAGTGTGTGTAATTCAGCTTCTTGGATTTTATTACATACCATCCATTACAGGTCAACTTACTAGCAAACTAAACTAAGCGTATAAAAAAAAAAACAACCCATCGCAAGATAATTAAGCGCCAAACATTCGGAAATCAATAAAAAAATAAGTCAACTTGATTTTTTTTTCAAGTGACACTTCGATGACAGCTGTCAAATTTATTGGCGCGAAATGTTTTTAGTTTAATTCTTTTTTTTATTGCGTGTTTGTTTATGCTATTAATTAATTGTAGACGTCAATAGAGCATTAATATTAAAAAAATAATCAATTATTTACTGATTAAAAAGCAGTTAGCAATGCAATCATAAATTTTAATTTCTTTAATTTATTTAATTTTATTACTTCTTCCTTTTTTATTTACCTATGTATTTATGCTACGATAAATGTCAAAAGACTATAAAAAAATAATGCGTTGTCTTGATTGAGGTAGCTAAGAATAAGTTTTTCAGATCAGACTATTTAGTTTTTGAGGTTTCCGCACTCATCAGCTAAAAATTTATTGTAATAAGTATGTCATTTTAACTTAGATTCTACTAACTATAGCTTTTCTAACGTTGTCGTAACGTTTCACGAGTAAAAAACTAACGTTTTATTTCGCCGTGTGAGTGAG